ATTTAAAAATACCATAAACATTAGCTTCAAAAATTTATGTGTTCAAATGAAAAATTTTCAAAACAAAYACAAGATTTATGCACTGAGAACTACAAATTGCAGATGAAAGAAACAAAGACCTAAATAAATGTTATACTCTATTCCTGGGTAGGGCAATTTAACATGGTAAAAATGACATTAAATTAATATGTAGATTTAACACAAACCATTCTAAATCCCTGAAGATGTATATTGATATGGAAAAAGATGTTTCTAAAAGTTATATGGGAAAACCACCACAGTAACAATTTTGAAAAATAATAAATTTGAAATGATTGTAATTACCCAGCTTTAAGACTCACTGTAAATAATACTGAAGGCAGTATGGTATTAACAAAGTGATAAATGCATTATCACTGGAACAAAATTGAATTCAAAAGTGGTACCACACATTTATGGGTAATCGATTTTTGGTAAAGGTGCAAAAAGCAATTCAATGGAGGAAGAATTGCCATATTCCAAACAAAACAAAACAGAACAAAAACAACTTTGAGAGTTAATTTTTTTAGCATTCTAACATTTTTAGTACATATTGAATATATTTAGTAATATGTGAAAACAACTTATGAAAAGACTGTTGGGTTCTTAAACTGTAAATTCTGTTAAGATACCATATACAAATATATAATAATAAATCACAGGAGGTTTAGGATTAATTCCTTTATATGTGTATACTTTAAAATTTCCTTCATAGCACAGATGGAATCACATTTAAATCACAATTTTTTGAACTTCCAAATTTTTTGCTGTATTGTTGGAAATAGGCTAATGAAACATAAAATCTGTTTTGAAACAAAGGAAGATATAAATGTGTAATTGCCTAACTTTTAATAAATCCTTTGCTATGTGTTTCTAATTACCCATGACAGTGGTAGCAATTCAGTGTATGAATCTGCTTACCTTCATATCAGGCTGAAGGAAAAGGTAGAAGTTACAGAAGAGAGATTTCATGACCCAGGGCAGGTTTAATGATTTCATTTGGCACTTGTGCATTCCATGTGTTCCTACATTTTACTGTGTTGCATTTCAGTGTTTTCCTTATCTGACTTCACAGATAAATGCATTTTATTTTCTTTGACATGAAGCTCCACTTCATGTTTGTAMTGACACATGTAACAGTTTGTGTTTCTGGATCTCATTGAATATTTTAGACAGTTGTCGTCTTTGAGATTGATTCTTCAGGAGTTCCTTGTGTTAAATTGACTGCTAAATGTGCTTGCAGTTGGAAACTTTTGGTTTAGATCTCTCTAATTTTGAACTGGGAAGGAATCTAACCCTTCTCATTTATTGAGAGATTATTTTTGTGTCTGTGTCACCAGGAACTAAGGATCTTGGGTGTGAATTTAAGTTGATTTCATTCATAGTTTTGTTCTTATTGTGATCAGTCTCACCATAAAGGAGTTTTACAGTGCAGAAATAGTATAGAGTCTATGGTTTTAGATATTTTTAAGTAATCTAATCTTCTTGTGAAAAATTTCAGTGTTTTTCAGTACTGAAGTAGGCTATGTAAGAAAATGTGAAAAGAATTTTCTCATTTACTGATATTTTAAATCTAACTTGGGACTTAATCTTCTGAATTTATTTTGATGATTAGTTTGCTAGTAAGATTTCTCAAGAGATTAAATGCATGTTTGTCAAAGGGAGAGGGAAGTGGTAATTTTTGTATAAGTTAGTTACATTCTTCTTAACAAAAAGATGTTTCTTTAAAGCCAATCTAGCTGTGATAATTTGCTTGAGTCAGTACAAAGCAAATCAAATAGCTGCTTTCTATCTTCTGAGAACTGCCTTTGAAGTGATCTTAGTTCATATATTCATTCTCCATCATTTTACTTATCAACTTTATGATATATTATGTCTCTAACTAAAATACCTCAACAATAATAATGCTTTTTGGATCACATTACATGAATTGTCTACTTTAGTTATTTTAAAAAATTAAGTGAAAAAATGGAATGAAATTACAGTGAAATCAAGTAAAAATCTACATTAGTATACATTTTTAGACTCTAAATATAGTATATGTTTTATTATTTTAAAAATTAGTTATCATTGTACATAGTTACTAAACATTCTCAGGTATTTGTGGGCCAAGACTGTTGTGATATTCCATAAAGCTCTGGAGACATAATAAACATTCTTAGTTATTAACAAGTAGTATTATATGATTTCATTTTTCCCCCTTAGGTCTAGCCCTTATATTTTTATGATACTTGAAATAAATATTATTGCCTCATTTAATTGAAGCATATTAAGATTTGGAAGAGAATAATTATTTTTTAAAAATTGATAGATTATTAGTGTCATTTTCCTTAAAAAGAGACAGAGTTAAAAACCCATAATGATTCCTGAATTAGAATTTCTACTACTAGAACATATTTATAGTTCTTTCTGTTGAAAAGTTTAGCAATTTTTTTATCATGTCATAATAGTTAGTACACTTTTTGTCTATCAAATAAAACACTCCTGACAATCTTTTCCTTGGCGTTGCTATACTTTTCAAGAGAATGTTCTATGTTGTGTATATTAGTTTTGGCTGACAGCTACTTGCTTTTTGGATTATTCTATACATTTAGACCCTCTACAGATGAACTGATGTGTTCTAGACAGGAAGTGGTATGTAGGAGATATAGGAATGGGCTGAAGTATCCTTTATATTTGCCTTTGTATCTAGGGGAGTTGGAAATAGGCAAGAATGGAGAGAAATTTTGTATGGCAGTACAAAGAATTTTGCAAGTTTATTGTGAGCCCTGCAGCAATCCGATGCATTTTAGTTACTGGTAAGTTTGTTAAATTATGTTTGAAAATTGTACCTCTTCAAAGATGGCCATCTATTTACTATTACGTCCACCATGTCAAATATACCTTATTTTTAAGATTTTTTTTTTTTTTGTAAAGATGTGGTATTGCTATTGTATTGAGTTTTAGGTATAAATTAACAATACTTTGGTTGGTGAATGCATGTGACTTTTCAGTTGTTGTCATGGTTAACATTGAAGTGAAATTATTCATGGATAGCATAGTCATGTGTTAAGATTTTGGAATTTTAATAAAATTAATATTTGTTTTTGTAATGGAACTCCATCATATTTAGAGGTCCAAGTTAATTCATTAGATGTTTGAGATTGACTAGTTCTTCTGACATAAATGAAAAATATAATTGTGGCATCCTTGTAATTTTATATGGTTCTAATAGGACGGTGATATATTGTAAGAAATATATATTTTTTTCCTTAGGGACCATTGTGAATTATTTCTAGTCTTTAATTTGGGCAGTGCTGATGTTTAGGAATTCAGTTCCCCCCAATAAAACACAATTATATGTGTAGGTAAGAATTTCATGAGCTGATAGGAAATTGTGTAATATCAATGCAGTTCCTTTATTCTTTGCAAACATTTAAGCAGAAGTATTATATGTAATATAGTGACTTAAGTAGTTATTTGTGAAGTGGCCTTGACTATTGATTTAATTTATTTAAAATGGATTAGATTGCTTACTAGTTGTGCTTCTTTACAGAAACATTTAAAAATCCCAAGGAATTCATTGATAATTGTGTTTTTCTTACAAATGTCTGTCTTTGACTTAAGGAAAAAGTAAAAAAAAATTGATTTGTAATATCAATTTAATTTTTTTTTGTGGTTTAAGGATATAGGGCCAGTTAATATAATTGAATTTTAATTTCCTGTAATGAAATACTTTATTTCTGGATAGTCTGTTTTTCTAGCTAATGTCATGCAGTCTTAAACAATCATTTTTGACAATGATAATGATAATTTTGCTATCATTTCTTCTTATGAGAACATTTGATATGAACAAAAATAGCCACATCATCAGAGAAAGGTGTTATTTGTCAATTCTGTTGAAACCAGATGAGCTAGAATTATTCAGAACTAGAACTTCATATTCCTTTTGGGCTTTAATAGTCTTCAAGTTTTCTCATTACAAAATTTCCCAAGTGCTTAAAATATATTTAGAAATTTGTAACTTTGCCCTTTCTTAAGAACATAAATAGGTGATTTAGGTTATATCATAAAATATTTTAGGTAGACACTATTTTAATTCCCAATAGAGAATGGTTTACAGAAATTTATTATAAATGATATTAAATATATATATTAGAGGAAAATATATATTCATTTTCAGGAATACTACATTCATGTATCAGTGCTGCTTGTTGAAAATTGTCATGTAATTGTGAAGAAAACATGTTATTAAAGCTTAATTCAATGCAATCATTTATTTTTCTTTGGTTTCTTCATTCTTTCATCTAGCAGACATACCAAGTGCTTAATCTTTGTCTGAAACATATCTTTGTGTGCTTTTATGTGTTTGTGTGTACACTGTGTAATTAATTGCAACTTTTCATTTCAATATTACACAAATCATGTCTTTTCTCTGCTGTCATAAATTTTCTGAGGGCATACATGGATATAAGTGACATGTTATATATTTCTTTGGAATTTTTTTAACAAAGTATTTATGAAAAATAGGTCTAAGTAATAAATTTATTAAAAAATAGGTGCATCTTTCCAAAATAATGTTGTGTACATATTTAAAATTCTATCTGATAACCAGATACTCAAAAGACTATTATGATAAACTCTTAATTATGGAAAGATACCTGTGTTTGTTTATGTTGGATTAACTTGAAGTAGGAATATATATACATATATATATACACATATATATATGTATAAATAAACTTGGATGTTTAATGTAACAATATAAAAGTACATAGTTACTTTCCAATTTATTTAATTTGAGAAAAGGATAAAATTAGTTTTCTCATTCTTKTAAGAAATATATTCATATATAAAGCAAAATAGCAGTTGTCAGCAAAATAGAAATTAGTATTGAATATTTGTTATCATATGACACAACAAATTACTGAAATGGAATACTTTAATGTTTATAATAAACATTTAATGATTACAAAATGAAATTATCTGTACTTTACATGCAGTGCTACTCTTTTGGCATTCCTGGTTGAACTCCTTAAAAGTTCAGTAGCCATGCAAGAACAGATGCTGGGTGGAAAAGGCTTTTTAGTCATTGGCTACTTACTTGAAAAGGTAAGTGTTACATGTTGATGGTTTTATTGTGTAGCTTTCATACCTAGACAGCTGACTGTCACTAATTATATTTTCTGTAACTTCCCTTTCCATTGACTGCATAATGGTTATAATGTTGTTAATTCAAGACTTTTTTTATATCATGAGATAGAAGTATAGACATAGAATTAAAATGTGTGTTAGAAGTGTAAATAATTAAGAAATTTTGATTGAAAACAGAAACATTCTTCCATGCACTTTTATTCAAGTTGCAAGTATCCTTTCTTTTAATTTTGTCCCCTATTCCTTTGCTATCTTTACACTCAGATTAAGTTTCTTAGAAATCTTATTATATTTGTTTTACTTAAATGGATTTCCTTTTTATGTTTTGCTTTATTTTTCAATTATAAGATTAAAATTTTTATTTTTGGTGGCAGAAACATTATTTTGTACTGTTATCCTTGCATTTAATATATTTGAATATTCAAAGCAACTTTTGTTTCTATATATAAATAGCACAAATATTTTTTTAATTCATCTCATTTATGTATTTTTATGACATCTGCTTTAGTCACAGTTGTTCTATTGTAGCAATGAATGTTGAATTTTGATGATGTTGTCTTAATAGATTGGATTTCCATTAACAATTAAAGTGAAATTTCATGTGTAAAGGGATTTTTAAATAAAAATATTAATTTTCCTTGTGAGTTCTTTTTTATCATTTAATTTTAATACTTGGCTGCTCTTAAGTATGAAACTATTTGAGAATTAACTAATAAAGGTGATATCTCAACTAAGAGAAATTAACTCATTTTTACCATGGGAAAGAAAATGAAGACTTGCAGATAGTTTTTGTTTCACATTTAATTATGTTACATTTGAAATACCTGCAGCCTRTCTTTTCTTTGAAATAAGTGTTGCTCTTTCTTTGAAGATTAATAATTGAAGAGTAGTATATTATTAAATAGATTGATCACTGTTAGCATTTCTTTGTGGAGGCTTTTTTCCCCCCCAGTAACATTATTATAACTCCATTGAGACTTATCATTTATTTTTTTTTCGAATGATGGAATATCATCATCCTATATCTCGAGATTAAGAATTATTTAGAAGATTTATAAGGTACATTTATAAGTTACATTTCATGAATTAAATGGAATGCCTTTTGGCAGGATCACTGTGTAATTATTATTTTTTTTTACTGGGGATTTATCAGCATAATTTTGAAGTGAACCCTTTAACATTCAAAATTAACTTAAAATTAAAAACACTATAAGAGATCTTCAAACCAAAACTATTCTTTTTAAGAATTAATATCTTTATAGTTACATTGTCACTTATTCAAAATATCTCATTGTAATTTTAATTTGTATCCTTTTTTATTATTTTTGACTGGGCATTTTCTTATATATGTTTATGAGACATTTATTTTTTCTGTGAAGTGTTCGTACATATCCCTTACCATTTATTTCTGTATCTAAGACCCCTGCACTGAGGCAATCTATAATCTACTTTGTCTCTATGAATTTGCCTATTCTAGATATTTCATATAAATGGAAAAGTATAATATTTGTTTTGTATCTGGTTTATTTTGTTTAGCGTGATGTTTTCAATGGTCATCAGTTATATATCAAAACTTTATTCCTTTTGTTAGTAAATAATATATGTTCACATTTTGTTTTTCCATTCATCAGTTCATAGACATTTGTTTCCACGTCTTAGTTAAAGTTTGGTTTCTAGAATGACTTAATGATGTTGAACATCTTTACATGTACTTATTGACTGTTTCCATAATRCTCATCTTCTATTTATTGTTATTTTTCTTCATAGAAATATTTTCAGATCTTTTGCCCATTTAAAAAAAACATGGGGTATTTGTCATTTTATTATTGAATTGTTGGAATTCCTTTTTTTCTTTAATTTTTGGTCCTGGGAATTGGTACTGGGAATTGAAATCAGAAACTCTTTACCACTGAACTCTGTCCCTAGACCTTTTTTTATTTTTTTATTTTGAGACAGAGCCTAAGTAGCTTAGGGTCTTGTTAGGTAGCTGAGGCAGGCCTTCAAGTTGTGATGCTCTTGTCTCATCCTCATGATTTGCTGGGATTACAGGATTGTGCCAGTGCACCCAACTGAAGGTGTTTCTGAACTATCCTTGAAGCAGTTCCTTATTAAAAGTGTGATTTGCTAAGATAGTCTTCTACTGATGGATAACATGTTTTAATTTGTGTTTACCTTTTTAATTTGTGTTGTCCTGTTAAGTTGGACATTTTCATATGTTTATTTTGTCCTTTTTGTTGTATTTTTTGAAAATATGTTTAAATTTTTGCACATTTTGTTTTGGATTGTCATTTTCTTTTTAGTATGTTGAAATTCTGTATATATTCTGAGTATGTGTACTTTGTTAGATATTTACTACGAATCTCTCTTCTTTTTTGACTTGTCACTCTCAATGGAGTTTTTTGATGAATAGAAGTTCTTAATTTTAACAAAGCTCAAATTTTCAGTTTCTTCTGTGAGTAGCCCTTATATGATTAGCCCTTATATATCCCAAATCCATGAGTCTATTCTGTTTTCTCTGAATATTTTGCTTTGTCTTTCGTATTTAAATCTGTAGACCCTCTGGAATTGAAACTTATATATGGCATGAAAAATAAAATCAGGGTTTTTCTTTTTTAATTTTCTTCCATATACAAATGATTCCCAGTTCATGTTGGTTTGACTTAAATACTTAATTTTTTTTTGACAATTGTGGTGTACCATAGCATTCAGTAGAAACTGAATTCAAGTTTAAAATTAGATCTTTTCCTATGCTAGTGATATGTGATAGGATCATCCCCTGATGCTGAGCAGTGGTAGCGAGCCACAGATTACAGTAAAAACATGATCGTGAGGTTAAACAAATAATACTTGACATTGTACTGTGTTGCTGGGTTATGATGATCAGTAGACTAGGCGTATTGAATGTATTTTCAATTTAAAATACTTTCAGCTTATAATGGCTTTATTGGAATGTAATCCCAATGTAAGTTGATGAGCATCTACATGTATCTACCTGGTTCAACACCATTTATTAAAAAATAATTTTCTACTGCATAGCAATCTAGTCTTTGTCAGGTAACCATATGAGAATGGAATTGATTTATTTTCTATTTGAGGCAACATAATAGTGATATTAATAGTATATTGTTTTCTTTAATAGTGATATTGATAGTATATTGTTGTCTTTTTTAACAGTATATAATTCAACTATAGTTTTGTTCTTCAGGATTACCTTTGCTACCCTTAAGTCTTTAAATTCCCACATATTGTCAATTTTCTGAAGAAAATGTTAGCATTTTAATTGTATTATATTGATATTATTATATTAAATATTTTATTTTATGTATATTTAGGTCCTATTTTGTAATTTTCTACATAGAAAATTTGCTTTCAATTAATGTATTCTCATTAAACTAATATATTTGACATTTTTAAAATTTCAAATTTTTAATTTTTTACTGATCTGTAAAATGTAATTGATGTTTATATTGAGTTGTTATGCTATTATTGATACTCCTGTATTAATTTTAGTAGTTTATAGTTTTTTCAAGAAATTTTCTTTGTAGACAACAATATCATCTGAAGATCACAGTTTTATTTCTTCCTAATATTTATTTATTTTATTTTTTACCCTTGCTTTTTATTATGCTCTACTACACTGTTAAATAGAAGTTGTTATAGTAGGCATCTAAGTCTTATTCCTGATCTTACAGGCAATGCTTTTAATAATTAGCCACTTAGTATGGTGTTACAGATTACTTTGGAGATTTTTAAATCATATTAAAGGTGTACATATAGTTTGCTAAGAGTTTTCTTTTTTAAATGTTTTTTTAAGTTATAATTGGGCACAATACCTTTATTTTATTCGTTTATTTTTATGTGGTGCTGATGATCAAACCCAGCGCCTTGCATGTGCTAGGCGAGCGTTCTACCGCTGAGCTAGCCCCCTAAGAATTTTTTTTATCATAAACATGTTGAATTTTATCAAATTCTTTTTCCTCATTATTTGAGATTTATTATGTTTGTACATTTTTCTTAAGTTAGTTGATTTCTAGATGTGAAGCTCCCAGTTACTTTTAATTCTACAACTATTCCAATCAGGTCTTCATTATTATATTATACTTCCCTTAATATGGCTTATGTCATTGTCACCATAGGATAATGTGGTTATTTCTTAGTTTTCATATTACTTGGCTTGTTAATAACATTTTGATTAAATGCTTTCTCCTTGAAATGTTTCCTTTATTGTGTTTTATGAGATCTAGCTATCTTTCTCTTCTTCTGTTTACTTCCTTTCCCTCCTCTTATTCTCCCTAGTATCTTTTTCTCATGTGTCTAAAGACTGCCTTGTCTTGTTTACTCTGGAAAACTTTCCTCTTTCTGTCTATGTATCTTTCCCTAATTGAGCTTATCCATTTTGTTGTTTCAGAATCCTGTAAAAAGTAATTGCTCTTAAAGTTGCTCCCATTTTCACTTCAACTTGGATGCCTAATAATCTTCAGAAATCTAGATTATGCACATATTTTTTTTCATTTTCCTCTCCAATTCTTTTCTGTCTTGTTTATCTTATTGAGAAGTAGTTCAGACCAAAAACATACTTTTTGACTCTCCTTTTTTTCACACTAGATCCAAACTCTAAGCAAATTATGTTGTCTTACTGTAAAAATATATCTAGAATCAGTGGTTAATTCCTGCTTTTTAATCTATTTCTTAATACATACATCCATTGATATCATCTTAGATCAAACCATCATTCTCTTTTATCATTTGTTATGCCCAGCTCATTTTTTATTTGTACTCAGACTAGTTCTTCTGAAGTGTTTCAAATTTTAATACTTCATTCYTCTCAGAATAAAATTTTAAGTCTCAGACCTCTGATATCAATCATATCTTACCACTCTTCTTTCTTGCTCTATTTCAGCCACATTTGATTTTAGCCATATTTGGCCATAAAAGGCTCTGTTTCCTTAAGCATGTGC